GCAAACTGCTCGCAGTTCCAGAATGTTTATGTGCAGCATTCATTCCGAAGGAGACCACCTGCCCTGTACTGTTAGGTTGTTTGCATGGGAGCCCCAGCCCACTATGAAGGCATCTGTTGTGATTACATTGTGGGGGAACCCTGCACACACATTGTGTGAATGCGTCCACCACCGAAGCAAGTCCTTGACCTTTTGTGGCATGTGGAGAAGCTTGCTCAGACTGTGTTTGTGTGGGATATACACTGTCCTGGGCCTCCCTTGCCGGCGGCGCATGCGCAATCTGGCAAGTTTTGCAATATAGGTGGTTGCCGCCATGTGGCCTAATAGTCGGAGGCAAGTCCTGGCAGATGTTTGTGGCTGCTCACTGTAGTGTTGATCAGGTTCACTAGTGTGGTGAATCTGTGTAGTGGGAGTGAGGCTTTTGCCTCCAATGAGTTTAGGTGAGCCCCCAGTGAATTTTAGTTCTTGAACTGGTGTCACTGTTGATTTTTGAATGTTTATTTGGAGGCTGAGTTTTGTAAAGAGTGACATTGTCCTGTGTGTGACTTTGATGGCTTCCTCCCAAGTGGGGCCTTGAGTAGACAGTCATCGAAATATGGGTATATCATGACCCCTTGTGTACGTAGGTGGACTGCCGCCACTGCTAGAACTTTGGAAAAAACTTGGGGAGCCGTGGAGAGGCCAAAGGACAGTACCATGTACTGATAATGATCTTGTCCCAAAACAAATTGGAGAAACTGCCTGTGTGATAGATGTATGGCGATGTGAAAGTATGCATAGAATCATAGAACTGGAAGGGACCTCGAGAGGTCACCTACTCCCATTCCCGGCACTCATGGCAGGACTAAGTATTATCTAGACCATCCCTGACAAGTCTAACCTGCTCTTAAAAATCTCCAATGATGGAGATTCCACAGCCTCCCTAGGCAATTTATTCCAGTGCTTAACCACCCTGACAATTAGGAAATTTTTCCTAATATCTAACCTAAATCTCTCCCACTGCAACTTGAGACCATTACTCCTTGTTCTGTCATCTGCTACCACTGAGAACAGTCTAGATCCATCCTCTTTGGAACCCCCTTTCAGTAGCTGAAAGCAGCTATCAAATCCCCCCTCATTCTTCTCTTCTGCTGATTAAACAATCCCAGTTCCCTCAGCCTCTCCTCATAAGTCACGTGCTCCAGACCCCTAATCATTTTTGTTGCCCTCCGCTGGACTCTTTCCAATTTTTCCACATCCTTCTTGTAGTGTGGGGCCCAAAACTGGACACAGTACTCCAGATGAGGCCTCACCAATGCCGAATAGAGGGGAATGATCACGTCTCTCAATCTGCTGGCAATGCCCCTACTAATGCAGCCCAAAATGCCGTTAGCCTTCTTGGCAACAAGAGCACACTGTTGACTCATATCCAGCTTCTCGTCCACTGTAACCCCTAGGTCCTTTTCTGCAGAACTGCTGCCTAGCCATTCGGTCCCTAGTTTGTAGCAGTGTCTGGGATTCTTCTGTCCTAAGTGCAGGACTCTGCACTTGTCCTTGTTGCACCTCATCAGATTTCTTTTGGCCCAATCCTCTAATTTGTCTAGGTCCCTCTGTATCCTATCCCTACCCTCCAGCGTATCTACCACTCCTCCCAGTTTAGTGTCATATGCAAACTTGTTGATGACCCCTCCCAGCTTGGTATCATCCGCAAACTTTATAAGTTTACTCTCTATGCCATTATCTAAATCATTGATGAAGATATTGAACAGAACCGGACCCAAAACTGATCCCTGTGGGACCCCATTCTATATGCCCTTCCAGCATGACTGTGAACCACTGATAACTACTCTGTGGGAACAGTTTTCCAACCGAAACAACAAGGAGTCCGGGGGCACCTTAAAGACTAACAGATTTATTTGGGCATAAGCTTTCGTGGGTAAAAACCTCACTTCTTCGGATGCGTAGAGAGAAAGTTACAGATGCAGGCATTATATACTGACACATGGAGAGCAGGGAGTTACTTTGCAATGGAGAACCAGTGTTGACCGGGCCAATTCAATCAGGGTGGATGTAGTCCACTCCCAATAATAGATGAGGAGGTGTCAATTCCAGGAGAGGAAAAGCTGCTTCTGTAATGAGACAGCCACTCCCAGTCCCTATTCAAGCCCAGATTAATGGTGTTAAATTTGCAAATTAATTTTAGTTCTGCTGTTTCTCTTTGAAGTCTGTTTCTGAAGTTTTTTTGTTCAATGATAGTGACTTTTAAATCTGTAATAGAATGACCAGGGAGATTGAAGTGTTCACTTACTGGCTTTTGTATGTTACCATTCCTGATGTCCGATTTGTGTCCATTTATTCTTTTGCGGAGGGACTGTCCGGTTTGGCCAATATACATGGCAGAGGGGCATTGCTGGCACATGATGGCATATATAACATTAGTAGATGTGCAGGTGAATGAGCCCTTGATGGTGTGGCTGATGTGGTTGGGTCCTCTGATGGTGTCGCCAGAGTAGATATGGGAACAGAGTAGGCAATGAGGTTTGCTACAGGGATTGGTTCCTGGGTTGGTGTTTCAGTGGTGTGTAGTTGCAGGTGAGTATTTGCTTCAGGTTGGGGGGTTGTCTGTAAGCGAGGACTGGCCTGCCTCCCAAGGTCTGTGAGAGTGAGGGATCATTTTCCAGGATAGGTTGTAGATCATTAATAATGCGCTGGAGAGGTTTTAGCTGGGGGCTGTATGTGATGACCAGTGGTGTTCTGTTATTATCCTTGTTGGGCCTGTCCTGTAGTAGGTGATTTCTGGGTACCTGTCTTGCTCTGTCAATCTGTTTCCTCACTTCCCCAGGTGGGTATTGTAGTTTTAAGAATGCTTGATAAAGCATTGTAGGTACAAGTGGAATGAAGTGTTCACTTACTGGTTTTCGTATGTTACCATTCCTGATGTCCGATTTGTGTCCATTTATTCTTTTATGTAGGGACTGTCCGGTCTGGCCAATGTACATGGCAGAGGGGCATTGCTGTTGTTTTAGTGGATACAGACTAACACGGCTACCCTCGATACATTTTCCAACCAGTTTTGCACCCACCTTATAGTAGCTCCATCTAGGTTGCATTTCCCTAGCTTGTTTATGAGAATGTCATGTGAGATAGTATCAAAAGCTTTACTAAAGTCAAGATATATCACATCTACCGCTTCCCCCCATCCACAAGGCTTGTTACCCTGTCAAAGAAAGCGATCAGGTTGGTTTGACATGATTTGTTCTTGACTAATCCATGCTGATTGTTACTTATCATACTATTATCTTCTTGATGTTTGCAAATTGATTGCTTAATTATTTGCTCCATTATCCACTGTGTCTGCCGAGTCTAATGACACCTGGAGAGCTGTTTGTGCCAGGAGGTGGCCTTCAGTGATGACTGACCTAAATTGCTCCTACTAGTCTTCTGGTATAAAGTCAATAAATTCAGACAGTTTAGAATAACTGGTGTGGTTGTATTTTGCCATCAAGGTCACATAGTTGGCGATTATAGCCAACTGATGACTGGGAGAAGTTTGTGGTTCTGAGTCTGAGTCCGGGCTGAGGGATTTTTCCATAAGGATAAGTTTGAATTTAACGTCCCTCACTTTCCTGGCACGGGCCTTAAGGTTGTGGCAATGGAAGCACTTCTGGGGTATGTGCGTTTCCCCCAAGCAGCGGACACACTGAGAATGTCCATCTGAAACGGGGATTGCCTCTTGGCAGGAGAGGCAACATTTAAAACCCAGGCATTCTCAGGTGGAGTTATCCCAGAAAGGGATGAATGAAACATAACATAAAATAATACATTTTTATTTATTTATTTAAATGAGAAGAAAGAAAAGGGGTAGAGTAGTTAGTTATAACTTGTTTTCCTATCTTCTACTATACAGTTAATCCTAAATCTAGATCTCAGGGGAGAGTGCACGTGGGGCCCACCGGACATTGCTGTCTAAATTCTCTGACTAGAGGCACAGGGGCGCACAATCATCTGACGTGACGCACCCACAGGGACATCACTCGAAGAAGAACTATAACAGCACTAGTGATTGCTGCTGTAATACATGAAGGACTTCATTAACTCCACAGCTGCTGCTGCAGCTAAGACACAAGGTTGGGACTGGTGAATGTACTGTTCAGCAGTAACTAGGGAATCTGTTAGGAAAATATAAAATCTGTGTTTAGATGTGAATGCAGAATCCTTTCCTTATTCCTAAAAGCACAAGGCCCTTTAACAAATAGCTGAAATGCTGAACAATGAAGTTCTTTACAAGCAAGCCCTGAGAAGCTTGGGATGGGTCTTTCTCAACAAGTTTGTAAGTTTGTTGTGGCCCAATTATTCTGTTCACTGAAACCCACTATCATTACTATTGCGCAAAAGGCACGCAGGCAAAATCACCACTTTTTGCACAGCTGTTTAATCCCTTTCTTTAAGTTGAGCCAAATGTATATTTTAATTTTATATTCATGCCTAGAGTTCCCTAATGGGAATTCATTTTAAGTGCACTCCAAATTGCTGTTATAAATACGACAGAATCATTAAGTAGCAGTTTGTATGAACTCACTGAAAAATATATCTTAACTTCTAAGCTCATGTCTTTAAAGAGCTGCTGTAGTCAAAAAAAAAAAAAAGACATTAAAAGTGGCATCTTTGCTCCCTGGCAAGCGTTCTGAATCACATATGCTTACATTACAAGCAAAGAAAAGTTATTACGGTTAGCCTTGTAGAAGTCAATACAGCTATGAGTGAGTGAACTGGTTTCTAGCACCCTAGAATCATCAACACCAGTGTCAGCCAGGTTCTGTATGTAGAACAGAATTCTCATTACTGGTGACTTCTCACTGAGGGAGAATTAAATTGCAACCTTGCAATCTAATTTTTCTATTTAGTTTCTGGATGAGAACTACAGTTTACAGATAAATCTTCGACACATGGCTTTAAGATTACTATTGCTGGTCACACTGATCTCCGGAGTGTACATGTATGTTAAAGTTTAACTCTCTCACCTGAATGAAGTTCCTTCACCAAAGAAGACATTGTATTTGTAATTGAATCAGCTGCTACCAATAAATCGTTACGGAGGTTTCTTCGTGTACCTAGGAAAGAAATGGAGGAAAAGAAAATGAAAAGTTATGGCAGATATTAGACTTCAATTTCCCAAGCTACTCACAAACGGAAGCTCAATCAGTTGTTCCTGACCAATCAAAATGAGTGATTACTTTCCCTCTGTAAGGAATATGAGAGCAGAACTGCAAACACTCACCTTTGCCTGCAGAGCTGCCACTTGGACAGGGTAGCTGTAGTGCAAAAACCCATTAAAACCAATCCTGGTTTAGTAAAGATTTCTGATATAAATGACCTGGAAAAAGGGGTAAACAGTGAGGTGGAAAAATTTGCAGATGATACAAAACTACTCAAGGTAGTTAAGTCCCAGGCAGCCTGCGAAGAGCTACAAAAAGATCTCACAAAACTGAGCGACTGGGCAACAAAATGGCAGATGAAATTCAATGTTGATAAATTCTAAGTAATGCACATTGAAAAACATAATCCCAACTATACATAAAAAATTATGGGGTCTAAATTAGCTGTTGCCACTCAAGAAAGAGATCTTGGAGTCATTGTGGATAGTTCTCTGAAAACATCCACTCAATGTGCAGCGGCAGTCAAAAAAGTGAACAGGATGTTGGGAATCATTAAGAAATGGATAGATAATAAGACAGAAAATATCATATTCAGTGCAGATGTGGTCGCCCCATCTCAAAAAAGAGATACTGGAACTGGAAAGGTTTCAGAGTAGCAGCCGTGTTAGTCTGTATCCACAAAAAGAACAGGAGTACTTGTGGCACCTTAGAGACTAACAGATTTATTAGAGCATAAGCTTTCATGGACTACAGTCCACTTCTTCGGATGCATCCGAAAGCTTATGCTCTAAGAAATCTGTTAGTCTCTAAGGTGCCACAAGTACTCCTGTTCTTTTTGTGGAATTGGAAAAGCTTCAGAAAAGGGCAACAAAAATGATTAGGGGTCTGGAACAGCTGACATATGAGGAGAGATTAATAAGACTGGAACTTTTCAGCTTGGAAAAGAGACAACTAAGGGGGATATGATAGAGATCTATAAAATCATGATGGGTGTGGAGAAAGTAAATAAGGAAGTGTTATTTACTCCTTCTCACAACACAAGAACTAGGGGTCACCAAATGAAATTAATAGGCAGCAGGTTGAAAACAAACAAAAGGAAGTATTTTTTCACACACCGCACAGTCAACCTGTGGAACTTCTTGCCAGAGGATGTTGTGAAGGCCAAGACTATAACAGGATTAAAAAAAGAATTAGATAAATTCATGGAGGATAGGTCCATCAACGGCTACTAGCCAGGATGGGCAGGGATGGTGTCCCTAGCCTCTGTTTTCCAAAAGCTGGGAATGAGCGACAGGGGATGGCTCACTTGATGATTCCCTGTTCTGTTCATTCCCTCTGGGGCACCTGGCATTGGCTACTGTCGGAAGTCAGGGTACTGGGCTAGATGGACCATTGGTCTGACCCAGTATGGCCGTTCTTATGTTCTTATATCCTGGAGTGGCTCCCTGCTTGGTGGATCGATTGTCTGCTTAGCTAATATGCTGTTACACTATATTTTCAATTACATGGACAGCACAGGTGGACCACATCAGCATGGTCAAGTGTTTCTTTGCCCAAGACAAGAGTAGTTTGCTTCTCTTTGAAGTGCAGCGATCTGGTGCTTCCATTTGTGTATATACACACACACCATCCATGAAAATGCTTCCAGTCCCTTGTGTATAGTTCTTCTTTCCAGTGACTGATGGAGTAACTCTCTTTCCTGATGGACAATGCTCCAGTGGATAGCAGGCTCCCTAGTGCTCCAAATTGGCATCTATTGTGATGATTGGTATGCTTGGTTCCAAGATTTGCAAACTTCTTGAAAATCTGTGTCCTGTCATCCACCATTGCAGGAACCTGTTCACCGCTGGGGAAACCTGAACCTTTGCCATAGGTTGTGTAAGCACAGGGGCAATGAGCAAATTATGTTGTGTAAAAAAAATCTCATGTGAAACCTGATCCTTCTGATAATGCCTGTGCAAGAGATTAGCAATACCAAGAGGGGTGGCAGGGTTTGTATCACGGACACCTGCATTTTGCACTTTTTGGATGGCTCTTATTGTCTTCTGTTGCCTCTCTGAGGAGCATAGACACAAACTTTTAGGTTTCCCTGGGAGTGCGCCACCCCGAGGCCTTGGCCCACTCCACCCCATTCCCCAAGGCCTGCCCTCACTCCGCCTCTTCCCACCCTGCTCCGCCCCCCCGAGGCCTCCCTCACTCTGCCTTCCTTCCCAAGGCCCCACCCTCGCTCTGCCTCTTCCCGCCCATACTCTGCCCTCTCCCTGAGGCCCTAGCCTACTGCTCGCTGCTCTGCGCCAGCATCCAAACAACTGTGGCTGGTGGTTACTGAGCACCCACTGTTTTTTTCCCCATGGGTGCTCCAGCCCCAGAGCACTCACGGAGTCAGCACATATGCTGAGGACATAAAGATTCTGGGACTGAGAGTCTATCCAGGCTCCCAGGTGCACAATGACCTGGGTTGATGATACAGCTGATCTTTTCCCTGTTTATCAGGAACCTGTATACTTTGATATTATTAACAATCCCTCTCCTGTGCCTTGACTCTAAGACCAAGAGATCAGCTAAGGAGGAGTCTTGTTTTGTCTGAGGATCACGCTGGCAGGAAATGCTAACAACCATTTCTCAAAAAAGGTTCCCTTCTCTGGTCCCGCAAAACAAGCAGAGATCTTTCTCCATTAGCTCTAATAGAGAGGATGTTACAGGTAGAAGAGACCTTGCTTTTGCTTTTTTTCTCATTGGTCTGCCATGCTGACTGCTCCCTGGAGCGGCAAGGGAGAAAACGCGGTGGAACCTTGGTGAAGAGCCGAAGGAAAACCTTCCTTCCTATGCACATACATCTGCAAGAACCCAGTAGCAGCACAAGCTAGCAAAAATAATGTAAAAGTTTGGTGAAAATTTTGAGTTAAATTAAACTCCTTTGGCAAGCATTCTTGGACTTCAGACAGAGCCTGTAAGTTACTTGATTCTATAGCTGCATCATCGCTAGTGACTCCAAGCTGTTGTATAGTAGATTTTGAATACCTTGTAGGACCCACTGTACTATTGTTCTACTTCATGCTGCCTGGAAACAAGTCAATCTGCAAAGGGGAAAGGAAACCAGTTGCCAAAGAAAGCAGTTGGGAGCTCTCAACTGTACTCAAACTTGCCGCAGAGGCTAAGAAGAAGCAACTGGACCACCCACGGCAGCAGATGGAGTGCTATGCCTCTGGTATTTGCCACAATACCTCCCTGGGAATGCCTGCTTCTGCTTTTGTTTCTGGAAGTGTTCAGCGGGACGAGGAGCTAATCCTACTGCTGGAATCGGAACGACACATTCTTCTTACAAGTGAATTGCAGGGGCCCAAGGTTTGTAGGGCTGACGTCTTCCAAGGTCTCATCTGTGTATTGACTAAGGAGGTTCTGGTCTTCAAGTAACAGAACCTCAGATTTTGCTGGATATCATGGGGAATGAACCCTTTAATCAGTATATTCTCCTCAAAGGGTTAGTGTGGTACCAAAGTATTATGTTTCGAACAAGAGACTTTTTAGCCACTTACTGCCCCTCTGCTGTAATTTCCTTTGCCTTTTTCTTAGCCCCCTCAGGCAGAAGCCAGTCTCGGCGAGGAAGAATATAGTCTCGGCAATCTTCATTTGAAAAACACGACACCATCATCATAGTGAGGTCTATGTTCACAGACTCTGTCTTGAGGTGAAGACTGAATCATACAATTGATGCATTTGACACGGACACTTAGTAGCTACACTGACCACCAAGCAACATGGCACTAGATGTGCACAAAACTAATTGTGCCCTCGTGGTAGCAATTGGTACGACTTGTCATCTCCTTACAGTTTCACTGCGGAGGGGATATGTTACCGTCCACTCTTTAATTTCGTCCACTGCTTTGTTTTTATATTTCTCATCGTTTGGTTGGTTTTTACTTTTGTCCTCCCCTCGCCACACAGTGTTTTGACACTTTTAGGTTTATACCAGAGTGTTTGCCTGTTCAGAGATTTGCATACTTGTTAAGGGCTACATTCAGTTTAGCATTCACTTATTTGCAGTCCAAAATTTCAACTTTTTTTTTCAACCTAGTCATCAACTTACAACAAGGTGAATATTAGCTGAACACTCTGATTGAGAGTGCTGATGGCTACCATTCTGTCCCTCTCTGCATCCTCTGGGCCAAATTTTGGTAAGTGGTCTCCCATTTTGTGCTCAGTTCACAGCACTGTGACATGAAGTTTACTTACCTGATTTGTGGGTGCAGCTGGGTAATGTTTAAGTGTCTAATTATTCGCGTGCACAAAATGGTGGCTGAAAAATTGGGAGGCCAGGATTAGGTCACACAACTATTTTTGTTAATACTTGTGTCGTCTAATCCTGTAGATTAAAAGTCTACTTCCATCCTGCTCTGGCATAGTCCAAGTGAAATAATATCAGTGAAAATCATATTAAAATTGCTGTATTATATTTGTGTAATAATCAATCATTTCAGTGTTTGGCAATAGCAGGGGTTTCGGTTTGTGCTACACTCACCTTGTGCAAAAGCTTCCTGCACATCTCCCCCGACTCCCGCAAGTGAGTCCTGAGGTACGTGCGTGGGGGTAGAGCCAGCGGAAGTGGCTCTGACCGGCATTGGCATTGGGCGACTGGCTCCATGGGTAGGTGAGGAGTGTGGGGAGCTTGCTGCTTGAGCCTGTAAAGGGAAATAACACTGAATTTCCAAACTGTTTAATTTTCTATGTTTTGGCTCAATGTCTGTAAACGATTTTGTACAAAGCACTTAAGGAAAGAATAAAATTCAGGCACTTTATGCAAATATTCATGATATGGGTATTCTGAACATATGAATGGTAGCCCTCACATTCCTCCTATATTATGAGGTCCCAGATCCAAAGCTCACAGAAGTCAGTTCTGGTGTCCACAATTCAAGAAGGATGTTGATAAACTGTAGAGGGCTCAGAGAAGAGCCAAGACAAGGATTAAAGGGCCACATGACCATCTAGTCCAGTATTTTTTCCCTGACAGTGAAGAATACCAGATGCTTCAAAGGTAAGTGCAAGAAACCCCACAGTGGGCATTTATAGAATAACCTGCCTACAGGTGAAGGTTTTTCCTAGCCACCATCACATGGTGAGGACTTATGACCTGAAGCATGAGGATTTATATCACAGACATCAGACTATCTAATTTAACTTGGTCATTCTCATTATCCATAGACATATTAAATGGAGCAGAGAACTCTTCAGATTTTGAGATAGTTCACTGCACAAGTGGGGAAAATGTAGGCGCCTCTTTCCCCAGAGTCCATAATCACAGTTTCTTTTCAGGACTCAGACTACATTGTGGACCACATGACGTTGACCTTAAAGATGAGGTCCACGGTAGAAATCCAAAAGAAGGAAGGGGAGAACGGTTCCATTTTCTTTGGCAGAAAAATCCCTACCAGTACAGCTGCCCATTAAAAAATAGTGAATTTCCTTTTTAGGTACCTCAAGTTTCAGGAGACCATTAATTCAGGATAGAAACACTAATTACGGGAAAGGATCTGATCTCAGTACGGTATAATGGATGTTACTGATAGCTCTAAACGAGAAGATTCCCTTTACGGAAAAATGGGAAAGCTAGAGAACATTCGTGGGGAAGCAGAGTGGGTCATGGGATCCCTGTGGACAAAACATCTCAAAGAACCACAGTTAATGTAAGGTAAGTAATCGTTTTTATTTCTTCCACTATATGTTCACAGAGATCCCACTCTAGGTGACTGGCTAGCAGTTGTCTCTCTAAGGAAGTGGGTGCCAGAAGTTCTACTTAAATAGGGACTGTAAGACTGCCATGCCAAATCGGGAGTCAAATCTAGAGTTGCTACAAAGGAATAATGATTAGTAAAAATTCGTATTGATTTCCAAGTAGCTGCCCTACAGATTTTGGTTAAGTTTAGGAGCCTGCCTGATCCCTAGAGTTCACTTTGATCTGAGAAGGAGCTAATTTATTCAATTCATATGAAATACTGATACAGTTTGACACCTACTTCAAGAGTCTATGAGCGGAAATACCCTGCCCTCTAGACATGTCTCTAACAGCTATAATGGTCTGGGAGAGTTGCATAAAGACTTTGTCCTATGGAGATAGGAGGAAAGGGCTCTCAATACATCAGATGCACAGAGATTTGCATCTGTAGGAGACGAGTGAAGCCTAGGAAAAAAACACTGGTAAATACATCTTGTTTCAAGATCCAAGTGTACTTTTGAAACTACTTTGGGTAGAAATTTTGCATGAGGTCAAAGAGTAACTCTGTCCTTGTGAAAAATAGTAGAATCATAGAAAATCATAGAATAGGAGGGTTGGAAGGGACCTCAGGAGGTCATCTAGTCCAACCCCCTGCTCAAAGCAGGACCAATTCCCAACTAAATCATCCCAGCCAGGGCTTTGTCAAGCCTGACCTTAAAAACCTCTAAGAAAGGAGATTCCACCACCTCCCTAGGTGACCCATTCCAGTGCTTCACCACCCTCTGAGTGAAATAGTGTTTCCTAATATCCAACCTAAACCTCCCCCACCTCAACTTGAAACCATTACTCCTTGTTCTGTCATCAGGTACCACTGAGAACAGTCTAGATCCATCCTCTTTGGAACCCCCCTTCAGGTAGCTGAAAGCAGCTATCAAATCCCCCCTCATTCTTCTCTTCTGCAGAATAAACAATCCCAGTTCCCTCAGCCTCTCCTCCTAAGTCATGTGCTCCAGCCCCCTAATCATTTTTGTTGCCCTCCATTGGACTCTTTCCAATTTTTCCACATCCTTCTTGTAGGGTTACCATATTTCAACAAGCAAAAAAGAGGACGGGAGGAGCCCCGCCCTAGCCCCGCCCCTGCCCCTCCCACTTCCTGCCCCCCCAGAACCCCCAACCCTCCCCCT